ATTTTTACTGTTCTTTCTGCCTGGAAACTTAGAAAAGTCAATGGCGTCCAAAAAGCGTCCCTTTAGGTCAAAAGCGGTTTTAGACCAGCTAGAGAACAGCGATAGTAAATTAGAACCACTTGCAGAATTGAGTGATAAAGATTTGTGGGGAAATTCGTCATAAGACACTGAAAACTATTTTGCAACTTTCAGTATTTTTGGTTTGGTTATATTATTGAATTAAATGTATTATTATTATATTATTATTTTTTTTATGATTATTTATTAAATTATAATTTATGATTTCGTGTTTCAAATTTGAACATATCCGGGATGTTTATTAGACTCTTATTTGGACAGATTTCAGTGAGTTACTCCTAAAAATTACAGGCCTACAATAAAAAAAAATACATATTTCCATGCAAAACAATGTACCACTGTGAGCACAGAAATATGGACATAATCAGACCACTAGGGAGGCCACACTGAAGAAGCTACCCAATCCTCCCTCTATCTGAGCTCAGTTCATTTTTTTTTTTTTTTGTTCTGTTTCAGTTAATAGAACTACATGACCCACATGATATGTGTTTTTGACATTTGTGTGGGTGATGACAGAGGAGGTTTTTTTTTTTCCTGTTTTGTCACTACTGCAAGCCCCCCTCTCCTCATTAGATAATCCTGCCCACCAAACTCTATGGGCTTGGATGGGCAGGTGTAGGAGCAATAAAATGCGCTGCCAGGCTCCACCCCCCTGCAGGCAGGATGTCAGTGCTACACACATAAAGTGTTACTAAACCCACAACAGTAAAATCAGTCTGTATATACAGTAAAGCATGCTTGTTATGCTCACTGTGGAACCTAAGGGGTTAATCCTCTGCATTGTGTAAAAATGCTGTTTGATCTTGTCTTCTCTGATCCTCCCCTTCTTCCAGTGTCTTCCTCTTATCTCCTGATAAGGCTTATGGTGTGGAGACACTGCACATGCTCAATTTGGTGTGTATTACTAGAGGTGTTTTTTTCTTGAGAGTGCATGTGAGCAGCACAGGGACAATCAGCACTGTCTAGACCAGGGGCGGACTGACCATTTGGAAACTCGGGCACTGCTCGAGGGCCTGGGGTCAGTAGGGGGCCCCATGAGATGCCCCTGGTACCTTTTTCATAGGCTTTTTTGAGTTTGGGCAAGGACACAGGGGCCCCATGATCCTCTATTGCCCGGGGGACCCATGAATTGTCAGTCCACCCCTGGTCCAGACAGAGGTCAGTGGTTCTGCATCCTCCTAGAGAAAACTCCTACAAGCTTTAACAAGTGCTCTGCTAAACACTGATAGAAGTCATAAGACTGCTCTAACTGCTGATGAGAAAAAGTATTTAGTAGTTTTTATTTACTAAAATAATTGCATTTCCATGTTTTGTTGGAGACCAGATATAGTGAATGCAGGGTCCGGGTTTAGTAACATTTTAAACTACATCTTGGCTATTACACACTAAATCACCTGTTCAAGGAGTGCAGGCACTGGCATTTAAAATGTAAATCACTGCCCAGAGCCTGAAGTACACAGAACTTTGAGAAGGTTTTCTAAGGCTTTGCTTTCCACTTGAACAAAAGGAAAACTTAACTCAGGTAAGGACAGGCATTACTTATACACTAGTGGACAATTGTTCTGCCTGGAGTTCAGCTACAGAGTGTATGTTGGGGGGGGGGGGGGTGTTTAAAAAAAGGTAGGTATAGGTTGCTGGATTGTGGCATGGCTCTCCCTTGTAGCAGGCTCACAGGGGGCCTTATGATCTTCCACACAGGCCCACTGCATTCAGACAATGCCCCTAATTATATAATGTGTGTCTTTTATCTACCAAACAAAATTTCCTTAGCTGACCACAGCATTTTCTGTGCTCAACAGTGCCTTCTTGTGCTTCTGCAGAAGGGCTTGGACCGCACATTTGGAAACCTGTCTTCCTTTAGGTTTTTGCCTGTTAGAGACCTTGTTGATGCAATAAGACTATCTTGTGTTTTGTTGGCGTGCTCAGTCTTGCCATTGTGTTGGAATTTCAGGTCTTTAGCATCCTTAGCCTGCCAGTGGAGCATTGCTTTCCTTTAAGCTGGCCATAGATAGTTAGAATCTTGGCCGGCTCAGCAAGGACCAGCTGACATTCAAACCATGTATGGGTAGGCTGAATGTACCCAAGTTGATTGACTGATCAACTTGGGTACAACCAGCTTTCCGGATTTTACATGCGATTATTGCTAGCAGCTGTTATATCCGCCAGCAGTAATCACTGTTTTCCCCCTGCTCCTTCCCCCCACTCTGCTGGGAGAACACAATGGCTCGGTGGGAGGGATTCCTCGTCAATATTGTCTGTGTTGATGGGGGTATTGCAGGAAAGAAATTTGCACTGTCTATGGCTTGCCTTACAAATTTCCATTCCTCCTCCTACACAGCCAATTCTGTTTTGCTAAATGATCACACTTTAACCTACATGTTGTCTTGTTGTTCATTAGCATCTGTTTCGGTATAATTGCTTAATCATGCACTGGACCATATGCCTGCAAAGTCTGTGCAAGTTTACCTGAGAGTCACGATGGTGTTTTAAAGGAAAATAGTGTATATATATATATATATATATATATATATATATTTTGAGTTTAGATTTAAAAGAGAAGTATGGACATTTATACTCACCTAGGTGGATGCAGCATCGAACCAATGCTGCGTCTTTCCCATCAGCTCTGCAGTAAGAACTGAGTGATCAAACTCCGCTGGTTACTCAGTTCTCCCCCTCTGCTCTAAGCAGAGAGCAGGGACTGTCAATTTCCATCTCTTTGCTCTGTCCCTCCAGCGCTCACTGGAGCGCTGGGTTGTGGAAGGGGCGAGAGGGGCTGGCTCAGGCTCTCAGCAGATCACTGAGAGGGTGAGGCAGGTGTCGGTCCAAGCTTTCGGGTGGATCCTGTTCATGTGTTGGAGATCTTTTCAGAGCTTGGACTGGCTGAGCAAAGTCAGCTGACAGCAGAATTTAGCCTGCTGTCAGCTGAAAACGGGTCACAGGAGTGCAGAATGAACTGCACTCCAGTGACCAACAGGAGATGTACAGCCAAAATATACTTCTCCTTTAAGGGCTTATGCACATGGGTGGCCGAGCCCATTCAACGTAATTGTAGACACATTTCCTTCACATGGGCAGCCCAGGTGCAGTGTACAGTGTCAGTGCCATGAATGGCTGTGTGCAGCTGTATACAGTGATGCTATCCTAAACACAAGTATAGAATATTGGCTATACTTGTGTTTATGATAGTATATGATCTTCATGAAGAGAAAGCACCAGGAACCTACAGGACACCAGAAGACACCAGGGCATCCACTGCAAACGCCTGAGGATCCCAGGTGTGGGACACAAAACCTGTCCAGCTTGTTGTTGAATCTGGACATCAAGAGATCCACATCCCCACCTCAGAGGAATCACTACAAACACTAGGGGTAAAGGATCCATTCACCTGGGTTCAGCTGTTGGTTGCTGGAAAAAGTCAGCCTGCCAGTTATCTACACCAGGAATGTGTACGGTGGAGAGAGCCAGAACTCGAAGGTCTGCCCTAGATGAGATCAGATCCACTTTCTTTTGAGAGACATGACTTCTTGATGTAAAATATGTATAACAAGTCTGTTCAGTGAAAATCTCCAAAGAGATCAGTTGCTAACAAAAGACATGATATAAGTAATTATCAAGCAAAATATATAAAAATATTACAGCACAGGAATGATATTGTATAAGCAATAAATAATTGTACTGTGATCCACCACACTCCAACGAATGAAAGGTATATGCAATGTGCAAATGACATCCACCAGCAAAACAAATTATTATACAGGATTTATATAGCGCCAACGGTTTGCTCAGTGCTTTACATTATAGTGGGAGACAATACAGTAACGATACACTTCAATACAAGAGGGATTTGAAGGCCCTGCTCCTTGGAGCTTACAATCTAGGAGGGAGGGGTTAATGGTACAATAGGTAATAACTGTGGGGGATGGAGTGGTTGGAAGAGTAGAGGAATCCAATATTAGCAGAGGGCGGGATAGGCTTCCCTGAAGAGAGAGGTTTTCAGTGATCGCCTAAAAGTAAGTAGAGTAGGCAAAAGTCTGATAGATTGGGGTAGGGAGTTCCAGAGGATGGGGGATACCCTGGAGAAGTCCAGGAGACGAGCATGGGAGGAGGAGATAAGGGAGCTAGAGAGTAGGAGGTCTTGCGAGGAGCGGAGAGTACGGTTTGGGTGATATTTAGAGACAAGATCGGTTATGTAATTTGGGGCAGTGTTGTGGTGTCATTATATATTTTCAATAAACATTCAACGTAATTGACACTCCAGTGTTTCACCAGTGCAAATCCTGTCACTTTAAGGTAAGTACCTTACCAAACTCTGTACCCCACACAGAGGTATAATCCACTCATAGAAATGAAATCCCAATACAGAAAGTTTGCTGCTGATCGTGTCTCATCCGTCTGTGTCTCCCTTTGCCTGTTCCTCTCTCTCAGCAGCTCAGACATCCAGGAGAAAATCTGCTCAATCACCAGATCCAACACTTCTTCTCTCTAAGCCGCCAGCCAATCTCCCAAATATCATACCAAATTTTTATATATCATGTTTATATAGTTTTTAATGTCATTCAAAAGTTATTTATCAATTATCATAAATGGAAAGACACTTGATTCAGTCTCAAATTCATTGCATATACTAATAAATATATATAAATAAAAGAGAGAGATAAAAACACACAGTGTATATAAAACTTTTTGTTCTTTTTTTTCATATGTACATTGATGACAGCAATAACTTAATCAACTTCAATATGTAAAATACAATTTTATTTAACAAATCAGATTCGGTTTATAAATTATGCCAACAGATAAGGAACATGCTTCAGACCAAAACCGCTTACTTAAAAAAAAAAAAATTGAACACATAAAAAATGAATAAGAAAAGCCCGGCAGCAGAACAGATAGGCATATACTGTACAGGATAATGCAAATTATGTCTTCAGACAGCTCTGAGCCTTTTCCAATATTTCCTTTCTAATTTTGGGATATGTGGGGTGATCTTGAAGAACCTACAATGAAGAAAACGTTAATATTGCACTGTATATTACCAGGTTTTTTCCAGAATAAAAATGTATTTCCACGCTTACCTTATGACAAATATCTATAGTATCCACATACTTCTTGTCCTTTAAATAGTTAAATGCAAGTCTAAAACCTGAAAACATGGGAAAAGTCAATGCGTATTTTAAAAATGTTCAATGGTACATTTTCAATGGCAGCTAGACACATGATACATAGGGGTTCATTAAAACAGAGGGGTTAACTAAAACTGAAATTGCTGTTCACAGACGCTCTCCATGCAATCTGACAGAACTTGAGCTATTTTGCAAAGAAGAATAACTTCATAAACTTTCACTCTCTAGATGTGCAAAGCTGGTGGAGACATCCCCAAAAAGACTTGCAGCTGTAATTGCAGAGAAAGGTGGTTCTACAAAGTATTGACTCCGGGGGGGCTGAATACAAATGCACAGCAAATGCACAGATATTTATTTGCAAAAAATTTTGAAAGCCATTTATCATTTCCTTCCACATCACAATTATGTGCCACTTTGTGTTTGTCTATGACAGTGGTCGGCAAGCCGCGGCTCGCGAGCCACATGCGGCTCTTTACACATTTTAATGCGGCTCTTCTGTGTGCCGGGCGCCCGCTCCCCTCCCTCCTCTCGGGCGGCCCCCCCAAAAGTCAGGACTCTGCAGCTAGCCCAGCAATGGGCAAACTACGGCCCGCGGCCCGTATACAGCCCAGCGGACCTTTTAATCCCGACCCGCGGAGCGTGGCAAACATTGGCTGTCAGGATGTAGGCGGGGCAGCGTGACGAACTCCTCTCCTCTCACAGTCCGCCCTGAAGACCAAACGGCGCGGGAACACGGCGAGAGGAACGCGCGGAGCAAAGGTAAGTGAATTGACACAACACAATATGGGGAATGAATTACTATAGGGGGGATGAATTACTATATGGGGGATTAATTACTATAGGGATGAATTACTAATATGGGGGATGAATTACTATATGGGGGATGAATTACTATGGGGGATGAATTACTATGGGGGATGAATTACTATATGGGGGATGAATTACTATGGGGGATGAATTACTATGGGGGATGAATTACTATGGGGGATGAATTACTATATGGGGGATGAATTACTATGGGGGATGAATTACTATATGGGGGATGAATTACTATGGGGGATGAATTACTATATGGGGGATTAATTACTATGGGGGGTGAATTACTATATGGGGGATGAATTACTATGGGGGATGAATTACTATATGGGGGGATGAATTACTATGGGGGATGAATTACTATATGGGGGATGAATTACTATGGGGATGAATTACTATATGGGGGGATGAATTACTATGGGGGATGAATTACTAATATGGGGATGAATTACTATATGGGGGATTAATTACTATGGGGGATGAATTACTATATGGGGGATTAATTACTATGGGGGATGAATTACTATATGGGGGATTAATTACTATGGGGGATGAATTACTATATGGGGGATGAATTACTATGGGGGATGAATTACTATATGGGGGATGAATTACTATATGGGGGATGAATTACTATATGGGGGATGAATTACTATGGGGGATGAATTACTATATGGGGGATGAATACTTTTATTATATGGGGGGATGAATTACTAGGGGATTTACTAAATGTATTTTCAGTTTTAAAAATGTGGCTCTCAAAATAAATTTCAATCGTGGTTTTGGCAAGATTTGGCTCAGTTGAAAAAAAAGGTTGTCCACCACTGGTCTATGACATAAAATACATTTACATTTTGGGTTGAAACATGACAAAATATGGCACTTAGGCATGCAGACTGCCTCTCCAAACATTTGTGAAAGAATGGGTTGCACTCAGCTCAGTGAATTCAAGCATGGTACCGTGATAGGTTGCCACCTGTGCAATAAGTCCATCCGTGACATTTCCTTGCTACTAAATATTCCACGGTCAACTGTTAGTGGTATTTAACAAAGTGGAAGCAACGGGGAAGAACAGCAACTCAGCCATGAAGTGGTAGGCCACATAAAATGACAAGAGTGGGGTCAGCGCATGCTGAAAAGCACAGTGTGCAGAAGTCGCCAACTGTCTGCAGAGTTCGTAGCGAAAGACCTCCAAACTTCATGTGACCTTCAGATTAGCACAACAACAGTGTCTAGAGAGCTTCATGGAATGGGTTTCCATGGCCGAGCAGCTGCATCCAAGCCTTACATCACCAAGTGCAATGCAAAGCGTCAGATGCAGTGGTGTAAAGCACGCCGCCACTGGACTCTAGAGCAGTGGTCTCTGGAGTGATGAATCATGCTTTTCTGTCTGGCAATCCGATGGATGTGTCTGGGTTTGGCGGTTGCCAGGAGAACGGTACTTACCTGACTGCACTGTACCAAGTGTAAAGTTTGGTGGGGGGGGATTATGGTGTGGGGTTGTTTTTCAGGGGTGGGGGGCTTGGCCCCCTAGTTCCAGTGAAGGGAACTCTTAAGGTGTCAGCAAACCAAGACATTTTGGACAATTTCATGCTCCCAACTTTGTGGGAACAGTTTGGGGATGGCCCCTTCATGTTCCAACATGACTGCACACCAGTGTACAAAGCAAGCTCCATAAAAGACATGGATGAGCAAGTTTGGGGGTGGAGGAACTTGACTGGCCTGCACAGAGTCCTGACCTCAACCTGTTAGAACACCTTTAGGATGAATAAGAGTGGAGACTGTGAGCCAGGCCTTCTCCTCTGACATCAGTGCCTGACCTCACAAATGCGATTCTGGAAGAATGGTCAAACATTCCCATAGACACACTCCTAAACCTTGTGGACAGCCTTCCCAGAAGAGTTGAAGCTGTTATAGCTGCAAAGAGTGGGCCAACTCAATTTTGAACCCTACGGACTAAGATTGGGATGCCACTAAATTTGATATGCGTGTAAAGGCAGGGGTCCCAGTACTTTTGGCAATATAGTATACCTGTACAGATCAGCCCCCTGATCATCTTCTTTTTGGGTCCCCTGCCGGCAGTCCTTGCTCCTCTCAACTGCCGAGTGCCGCCAATGATAAGCCTCTTGCTATGGAGGCACTCGAGTAGGCTCCCTCCTGAGCCACGCTCCTGTGAATGGACATTGTCCATTCACACACAGAGTGTGGATTGCCCCCCCCAGCGTTCTCCTAATTGGCTTCTAATTGATGCTGTGTAAGCCAATTAGGAGAGAGACCTGGGAGAGCTGTGGTACTAATGCACCTTGTTGGATCGAGATGGGGCTCAGGTAAGTATAAGGGGGGCTGAGTGGGGAGCTGCCAAAGAAGGTTTTTTACCTAATTGCATAGAATGCATTAAGGTAAAAAAAAAAAAACCTTCTGCCTGTAGAACTACTAAGTTAAGTTTCTGAACTGTGGACACTGGGTGGGTTTGTCTATAAAAGAATAAGAGTCAGGGAAAAAAACCTTTCCTAATATATCCAAAACTTAAATAAACAGATGCAGATCATTTAATAACAAAATAATCAATATATTTTCATTTAAATAATTCTTTAAAAAGATCCATATTTAGCAGTTTACACTCACCTACAGCTGGGCTGGACTGACTGCTATAATTCCAGGCAAGTTTATAATTCACTGCAGCATCCTTGTATGATTGTTCCTTCTCCATAATAAAACCCAGGTATTCATATGCTTTGCAGCAAGACTAGAAGAGGGTACAAGTCCGTTATTTTACAGTAACATGCCATGCAGATATCTACAGTAGAGTAAATGACAGAAAATGTAAATAGGTATATGTAAATGCATATCAAATGAATGAAAATAGAACAAAGGAGAAGTACAGCCAAAGCTATTTTAGTTGTACTTCTGTGGATCACAGGAGTGCAGTTCATTCTGCACTCCTGTGATCCATTTTCAGCTGACAGCAGGCTGACTGGCAGTCACCGCTCTCTGCTCACAGTCAGGGGCGTATTTGTCGTGAGGCCAACAAGGCGTTTGCCTAGGGCGGCACTTTTCAGGGGGCGGCGCGGCAGCCCCCCTCTTTCCCACGGAGTGCCCCATCATTGGTATCCATGTGGAAGTAATAGTACTCCATCGTTGGTGTCAGTGGGAGGAATAGTGCCCCATCATTGGTGTCAGTGGATGGAATGGTGCTCCATCATTGGTATCAGTGGATGGAATGGTTCTCCATCTTTGGTGTCAGTGTAAGGAATGGTGCTCCATCATTGGTATCAGTGGATGGAATGGTTCTCCATCATTGGTGTCAGTGTAATGAATGGTGCTCCATCATTGGTATCAGTGGATGGAATGGTTCTCCATCTTTGGTGTCAGTGTAAGGAATGGTGCTCCATCATTGGTGTCAGTGGGAGGATTGGTGCTCGATCTTTGGTATCATTGGATGGAATGGTGCTCCATCATTGATGTCAGTGGATGGATCGGTGCCCCATCATTGATGTCAGTGGCAGGGGCGAGACGCGTCGGTACGCAAGCAGGCATTTCCGGGTGCGCTGTGACGTCACTTCCGGCGTGGGAGCCATATTTGAAAATCCTGTATTGTATACCCATGCAGTACAATTCCAGCATGTGGTAGATCTGCAGTGTCAGAGGCGAAGGAATATGCGAGTGGGCATTTTTATTTGTTTATACCCCAATAAAAAGGTTTTACACTATGGAGGTTTTTTTGTTTATATATGGCCTGGAGAGGACATCACTGACAGGGCTGTATATGGGAAGATTGGAATACGTTGAAGTGGATTTGCCCAATAATCCTGATACCATCCTGAGGGGTTTATATCTCTGAGCGAGCTGACCCGGTAGGGTCGATACAAGGAGGTGAGGGGGCACTTCAGCCATTAAGGATTTGCACAAGAGTGATCACATGTCAGCGCCTGCATGAGCATTTTTTTTCTGAGCATCAAGATTGGACTTTTTATATAATGTTGTGTGGATATATATTATTGTGATGAGCACCACTATTGGACATTTTTATATATAATTTTGTGTGGATATATATTATTGTGATTCTCACGAGTGTTGGATTGGACACTGGTCACATGTACACTTGATTACACGTTTTGCACTGTGTATATTTTACTCCCTGTGTGCACTGGGGGGGTTTCATTTATTTGTGTTCTATTTATTGATTTGTAGCACTGCACTATTTGTATATATATTTAGTCACTTCACTCATTTTGTTAAAGAGGTTAGTGCTAGCAGCTTGGGAGTTAGGACCCCATTTTGAGCGCAGGAGGATTTTTACCATTTCCGTCCCTAGGTTTGGTGTCACCCAATGCCAGAACACTTGGTGACACCCCCTCTCTCTACCCTCTTTCTCCCCCCCTCTCTCTCTCTGCCCTCTTTCCCCCCCCCCTCTCTTTTCTCGGTCCTCTTTCTCTCCCCCCCCCTGCCCTCTTTCTCCTTCCCTCTCTCTGCCCTCTTTCTCCCTCCCTCTCTCTGCCCTCTTTCTCCCTCCCTCTCTCTCCCCCCTTCTCTCTGCCCACTTTCTCCCTCCCTCTCTCTCCCCCCCTCTCTCTGCCCTCTTTCTCCCTCCCTCTCTCCCCCCCTCTCTCTGCCCTCTTTCTCCCCTCCCTCCCTCTGCCCTCTCCCCCCCCCCTCTGCCCTCTTTCTCCCTCCCTCCCTCTCTCTCTCGGTCCTCTTTCTCCCCCCCCCCCCTGCCCTCTTTCTCCTTCCCTCTCTCTGCCCTCTTTCTCCCTCCCTCTCTCTGCCCTCTTTCTCCCTCCCTCTCTCTGCCCTCTTTCTCCCTCCCTCTCTCTCCCCCCTTCTCTCTGCCCACTTTCTCCCTCCCTCTCTCTCTCCCCCCTTCTCTCTGCCCACTTTCCCTCCCTTCTCCCCCCCCTCTCTCTGCCCTCTTTCTCCCTCCCTCCCTCTGCCCTCTCTCCCCCCCCCCCCTGCCCTCTTTCCCCCCCCTCCCTCTTTCTCTCCCTCTTTCTCCCTCCCTCTCTCTGCCCTCTTTCTCCCTCCCTCTCTCTGCCCTCTTTCTCCCTCCCTCCCTCTGCCCTCTTTCTCCCTCCCTCCCCCTCTGCCCTCTTTCTCCCTCCCTCCCTCTGCCCTCTTTCTCCCCCCCCTCCCTCTGCCCTCTTTCTCCCTCCCTCTGCCCTCTTTCTCCCTCCCTCTGCCCTCTTTCTCCCCCCCCTCCCTCTGCCCTCTTTCTCTCTCCCTCTGCCCTCTTTCTCCCTCCCTCTGCCCTCTTTCTCCCCCCCCCCTCCCTTTGCCCTCTTTCTCCCTCCCTCTCTCTGCCCTCTCTGTCTCCCCCCTACCTACTACATGAAGCTGCACTGCTGTCACCAGGGTTGGGGGATTACACACTGACCTGCTGCATACTCTGCCCGCCCCTCCAGCTCTCTGACTTCAGCACCCGTGGCAGGGATGTGGACCCGCCCCTCTGCTGAAACTCCGAGGAGGAGAGGTGTCTGAAGTGCTTGCTCACTGTCCGTCCCCTCAATGCTTGCCTATTTCAGCAGTGGCACATACAGGGATGGACAGAGCCTCTCATGGGGCCCAATAGTGACCCCGAGCCCTCGGTCAGTTTGCCCCTGGTGGAGCAGGTCTGGTGTCACCCCGTGCAAAAGGACGCCCCTGGTCAGTGGATAGATTGGTGCCCCATCATTGATGTCAATGAATGGAATGGTGCCCCAAAGGCTGGATATTGGCAAGCAAAGAACCACATCCAGCCCATGGGAGAATTGGGCGCAGAGAAAGGGGCCATGAGGTCTTTATATTAATGTAGTGTTTATCTAACATAAATCAAATACAGTACAAAAAAAAGTCTTGAACTGCCATTTTACTCTACTTTCACATGTGCTTGCACTGACTGCAGCATTTTCCATGCTTAAACTAACCCAGAGCTGGTCTTGCAAGTTACTATGGTAACAATACTGCTAAAGAGCAGTTAGGATCCTATGTTATTATTTAGAGTCATGTGTCCCTCTAGACTACCCTTGGATACTAGGCCCAGGCTGTACATGGGGCTTCCACTCCTGCCCAAATTGAGATAAAGCCCTGACACGTTTGCGGTTAGGCCCAGCACCATGATTTAACTCTAAAATACCAGACCTTTCACTGCCTACTAATGTTTTGGTATTTGACAAGTGAATGATGCGAGCCAGGTCATCTGGAAAGGATTGCTCAGCTTACAGGCTAGGAAAGGAGAAAACACTCTGTAACTTGGACGGTTTATGAAAATGGCCATTTAATAACGGTGTGCCAATAACAAACCTTGTTGTAGTTAAGGCAGCGTTTCAGCAGTTCTGTAGCTATGTCATATTTTCCTGATTTGATATATATATCTGCAAGCAGCAACCAGCTCTTCTCAAGATCTTCAGCATCTTCCATTGTCCAGCGAGCTTTGGTTAAAAGTTTTAGCTGGTTTCTTGCTCTGGGTGTTTGCTTTAGAATCATGTATGCTTGAGCCATTGCTAGAAGGACTGAGACATTCCCCTTCTACAAGTACAAGGAATATAATATACATATCAAGTTCAGCTACATGGGGAGTACAGAGACATAAAAGGCAATAGAAAAGGACAAGATAATTAGAAACAGTGACATTACTTTTTATTATTCAGAACTATAGAATTTAAAGGCACAATACAGTTACACATGATGATTCTGTTTAAACTGACACAGCCAACACAATGAAGCTGCTTAAAGTGTATGAAAATACTTTTTTTTTTCATTAAAGTGGTGGCAAACCTCTGACACAAAATATGAACAAAGCATATCCCTCTATAGCACGGGTGTCAAACTGGCGACCCTCCAGCTGTTGCCAAACTACAAGTCCCATGAGGCATTGCAAGATTGACAGTTACAAGCATGACTCCCAAAGACAGAGGCATGATGGGACTTGTAGTTTCACAACAGCTGGAAGGCCGCCAGTTTGACACCCCTGCTCTGTAGTATGTAATTGTCCCATGCAAAGCACCAAGTGTCATTTCTGTCCGCTGCCTACTTCCACTGCCATCTGCATGAGTCGCTTCTGACAAGTTTTCCTACCCCCAGGAGGTAAAAAGATGAGAGGGGAGAGAGCTCTAGCACACAGCCTGGTATTGAATTCCTCAGCTCTGTTCCTGTGTTCTGTTTGAAGGGGGGTATGTCCCTTCCCTCTCACTGACCTCTGCAGAGTGTAACTTCTTCTCCCAGCCCCCTGCTGTTTAGAGCTGAGAGATCCCATGTAAATTCTGCACTTTCTATTTCAATGGTTTTTATTAATTTTTAAACAGTATAAAAGAGAGGCAATAAAACACGCCCACGCAGGGGCTATCAATTGCACAGATAAAAAAAAATGCAAAAAAAAAAAAAAAAAAAAAAAAAAACCGTGCTCTAATGCCAACAGGGCAAAAGGTACGCCCACGCAGAGGCTATCAATGGCACATAAATTACAAAACATTACTGTAACTGACTATAACAACTAAATGCAGCAAAATTCTGCACTTTAAATGGATGAAGAGGAGAGGTGGCTGCAGATAAACAAAAACAACTTATGTGTATCATCTGAGGCTAGTCATTTCACAGGGTATATGTAAGGGTTTACAAGCACTTTCATTTTGTATAGCGTAGGGAAGGGTTAAACCCTCTTAATTTTGTCTTTTGTCTGTTTCTCATTTGGGGAGATTCTACCCTTTTTGCTCTGATGACCCTTGTCTCTGAGACAGAAAGTGAGGGAAAATCTAAAAATGTAAAGTTGTTACCAGCACAAGAGGTAAAAGTAAATCATCCACTAGTAACAGATGTTCTGGTGACAACTGACTAAAGGGGAATTTCTACTCCTCACTCACTTTGGAGAGATTTATTCCCATTCCTCTCATTTTCCTGCATCTTCAAGACAGGGAAGGGAAATCTCCCCAGTGGGACAGAGAGGGGAAGAGAAAACCTGATATGGGTTTAACCCTTTCCTTACTCCATCCAAAACAACAAAAAAAAAAAAAAAAGGGCTATTTATAATTTATAACTGCCAATCTGTCATGCCGGTATTTCTCTGCAGTGGGCTAACTGGCTCTGCAAATTCCTTGAGCTGCCAGAACACCAGTATGTAGATATAGTATCTTCTTGTCCTGCAGCTTCTGTTCAAGCAGGCCAACAGTCCCAGTATCTAATTTCCTAATAACATAGGGACACCATGTATATGTATGTGCATGGTCCTGCATAAACATGGAGAATACATACAACACTGACTGGCAAAATGATAATACCTGTCCAGAAATATAATGATAGCTCTGCTCATTATAAAGCATTATATAAAACTAAAATGAGGGCTTTTCTTGCTTTAGCACTTTTACCACTTTCTGACTAGTATCAGAAATTTACTAAACATATTCACATGTTGCTCTTTGAAACCCTCACATCAATATTTCTGAAGGGTAGGCTCACAAAAGTTCCCGTAAGTATCTATGAAATCTGCCAAATTGTATTTTGGTGCATCTGGTGAGCCCCCAATTCTAAGTGCTGTTTACATTTTCTGTTCTGACACAGAGCTAAGCCCTGCCTTCAACATTTAATAATTAAGTGCCGAAAGGTTTAAAGACTGTTAGATATTAGTGCATTACTAGCATGTTTATTATAAGTTCCTTAACAAGATCTAGAGCAGGGTTTCTCAACTGGATTTCCACTGCGATATACTTGTCAAACACAATCAGCTGACAGGTAGACCGCATCCACTCTTCTGACACATGCAGAGCAATGCAGGGAAGTGGCTGTGATACTGCTGATTGTGTCATACTGTTTCCCGCTGCCCCCCCCTCCTTACGAGGAAGGGAGGAGGGTCCGGCAGGGAACAGCACACAAGAGGACTCATCTCAGCCACTTCCCTGCGTTGATCTGCTTATGAAGGAAACCACTGGTACTGTAGTGTATGCCCCATAATGTGCCTGCTGTGTTCCCCATGTAATATGCCCTGCTGTGGGCCCCATACAATGTTTCTGCTGTGTGCCACATGTAATATGCCCCACTTTGTGCCTGATAATGTGCTCTGCCCCCATGTAATGTGTCCTGCTCTCATGCAATGTGCCATGCTGTGTGCTCTGTTCCCCAGTAATGTTCCTGCTGCCCCCCATGTAGTGTGTCGTGCTGCCCCCATGTAGTGTGCCCTCCTACACCTGTGTACTGTGACCCCCTGTACTCCATCCTGCTGCCCCGTGTACAGTTTCAAGTTGGACCCAGAATTCAGCATCTGTGCAGAAAAAAAAAGCAAGCACAAGTTTCACATTAAATAGGTATGTTTAATGCTATTTTAAAATGTAATTGCTGTATATCAACAGTTCGCTGACTATACCAATGTTCCGTGAGCTGTAGATGTGAACAATATTTCAGGGATTCCCCAAGATCTCAAACTTTTTGCCAAGCTTCCTCCAAAGTAAAAATGTTTAGAAACCCTGATCTAAAGCCTGGACCATAGTGCACTCTAAACTGGTTGATGCTACCTTTGACCACTAGATGGGCGAAATTACAAATGAATAGTAGAGTTTAATACCTACAGCTATTGTTTAAAGAAGTTGTAAAGTTCTGAAATTAGAAATTAACAAATCATATCCTTCTATAGTATAAACTTGCCTCTAATCTAAGCACCTAGTGTGCCTCCTGTCTGCTCTCTCATTCTATGGCTATCTGCATGAGTCACTTCTGACAGTATGCCAACAGCAGACAATCCCAGGAGGAAAGAGAGAGAGGGGGGAGAGAGAAGAGAGAGAGAGAAGAGAGAGAGAGAAGAGAGAGAGAGAGAGAAGAGAGAGAGAGAGAGAGAGAGAGAGAGAGAGAGAGAGAGAAAATGGGGAGAGAGAGAAGGAGGGAGAGAGAGGGGAGAGAGAGGAGAAGAGAAGAGAGAGAGACCGACCTTTCCCTCCACTAAGGTCTCGGATTACACTCAGCTCTATGTTGTGCAGTGTGTGACATCAGATTGCCGCCCCCTGCCTTCTGGAGGGGAGAATTGCTGTGTAAATTCTGTACTTTAAATGGCTGTAGACAAATAGAGTGCTGTAGATATGCTGGCAGGGGCGTCCAAAGGCAGGTGCAGGGGGTGTGCGCCGCACCGGGTGACACCTATTGTATGGGGTGATACCGGACCCGCTCCACGAAAAAGTAAGTTGTAAAACAAGCAGACGATCCCCGCAAAATGGATCAGGTCTGCGGATTGAGCATAATGGATCGGAGTCCGATCCATTATCCTCCAAAATCCGCAGATCCGATCCATCCCGCGGGGATTGTCGGCTTGCTTTACAACTTACTTTTTCGTGGAGTGGGTCCGGTGTCACCCCGTGCGATAGGTGTCACCCTTTTCGTGGAGAGATCAATTAATCCTGTATAGATTGCAAGCCGATGATCCCCGCAGGATGGATCGGATCTGCGGATTGGGGAGGATAATGGATCAGACTCCGATCCATTATGCTCAATCCACAGATCCGATCCATCCTGCGGGGATCGTAGGAGGGGGTGTCACCAAGTGTTACCGCACTGGGTGACACCAACCCTAGCGACGCCCCTGTATGCTGGTACAACTTATGTAGGAGAATTGAAGCTTAATAAACGCCTTCGAAAATCGTTTTCAAGCTGCAGGAAGTACTCACATCGGGATCTGTGTTTAATAATTATGTGGATAAAGTAAACCATACACATACTGCAGAGATCAGTGTGACAAGGTGAAGTTGGGATGAGATGTACATTACCTCTATGACTGCCATTTCAGTGAATGTATTAAGTGCTGTTTCCACATTGGTCTTGTCTTTAGTGGCCACCAGGCAGGCGCACTGCAGCATTGTCAGTCGTTTCTCACCCAGCACAGTATGGGGATTGAACTCCTTCAGCAATTTCTCAGCTGTCCGAATGCCCAGCGTCTCTGAATCTCTTCTTTCTCCTGGTAGGCTGAATAGCAGAGGAAAACACACTATACAGGTTTCTTTCTCACAACATGCCTTAGTCAGTGACAGAACTAAAGGATGAACTGCATCAAACATTCTGGGTCGCTCACAGCAACAAATCAAGTTTGCTTTAACTTCTACATTGCACTGCGGAGAGGAAGCAGAATTTATTTTATTTTTATTTATTACAGGTACGGTACTTTGATTTGTTGCTACGGGCAACACATGATGTTTGTGACATTTCTTCTTTTGCTAATTGACAAATATGTACTTTCAGGGCTTATTTATTAAATGCAAGTACATGAGAATAGTGGGTGATGCCCTATTGTGAGTTTGATTTTTCATTAACCTCTGCTAGGTATAAAATAAGGCCATTATAATTGGTTATTATAAACAATGACCGAGGTTCTATCTATTCCCCAGCATATGCTAAAGATATAAACTTTAGGGGAGCTACAAATTCTACAATATGATTGTGTATTCTCTGTACAGTCTCCTTCATGTTGACTATGTAGTACAAGATAACAGCCCAGTACAATAGGCCTTCAGACTACATCGTTGTTAAAGAGGATTGTACAATCAGTTTGTAATGTGTTTGGGCATTTTTAGAAATTCACCCTTCCTGTTACAGCAGAGCTGTGCCCACTACTCCAATGTACTGTCCATAATATACAAGTTGCCCATATACAATAAGGGTTATATACTAAAACTGGAGAATGCAAAAGCTGGTGCAACTCTGCATAGAAACCAATCAGGTTCCAGGATTTATTGCCAATGCTTAATTGAACAAGCTGAAGTTAGAAGCTGATTGGCTACCATACACAGCTGCACCAGATTCTGAGTGCTCCAGTTTTAGTAAATTTACCCCAATGTGTCTTTTCCATGAACTGCCAGAGACGTGATAAACAGAAGGGAGAAACAATAGAAGGCCGCATTGACAGCAAATCACACAAGTCTGAAGCATGCAATTAAGTGTACAAGCCCTTTAAGACAACATGGAAGATACACACAATCAAAGGTAACCCTGATAATTACAGCTCTTAAGGCCTCATGCACACAGGGCGTTTTTGCAGCTACTTTTAGGGGCATCAGGCTTTTTTTTCCCTACTACTTCCAAACTGCCCTCCATGTTATCCTATGTGTCCATGCACACACAGACCTTTAGAAGCTTTTAGTAGCAGTAGCATTTAACAGCAGGAAAAAAAAAAAAACCCAGGGCCAGTGCCTCCAGGAGCAGCAGCGTTTTGGCAGAAAAAATGCTTAACAAGGCTGAAGGCGTGTTTAGCGCTTGAGCGTTAATTAATTTTAAAGGCCAGAATAAATTATTATTCTGGCCAATGAAATGAATTAATGCCCAAGTGTTTGGCGCTTGTAAATGTGGCTAAACACTTGTAAAAATGTTAAATACTTTTACCAGCGTTAGGCATTTTTTCTGCAAAAACGCTGCTGCCAGGAGGAAGGCTTCTAGGAGAGTTTTTTTTTTTTTTTTGAATGTCCTCTGTGCATGAGGCCTAATACAGAACAATTACACAAGATGCATGATTCTAATGTGGAACAGAAGGCACACAACTCCATAATGTCTGATTCTCTAGGGCAGCCTTTCTCAACCAGGGTGCCTTGAGGTTCCTTCAGGGGTGCCTTGGCAAAATGTCTAAAAATTGCCCAAAGCTTGTATACAAGCCAGCGGATGGAACAAGCCTGCCTTTTAGTTACACAAAGCCACAGGTTTTTATTGTGCACCATTACGACCTTCCAGCTGCAGGCGTCCTGACAACCAATACCATCATCAGTTGATACGGAGGATGTCAGTTGCCTGCACAGCATCCTAGTTTGCCCCTCCCCTGTACCTCTCTGTCAGTGCTGGGGTCACATTAGCTCAGTGATGGATAAAAACTGAGGGAGAAGAAAAACACTGGAATACTAGTCATTACCAGTGTGCAAAAGCGTATTTGCTTTGGAAGAATAAACACCTCTAATGTTGGATGTCCTATGTGTGTGGATGTTTCTGCGTTACAAAAAACTATTAAAATAGTGTTTCACATTTTGGAATGGGGTGCCTCAAGACTGTCCATAATTTTAAAGGGGAGCCTTGTCTAAAAAAAAAGGTTGAGAAACACAGCTCTAGGGCAGCCTCTCTCAGCCAAGGTTCCCTCAGGAGGTTGGTGGTACCTTGAACACTGACGGTTTGATCTTCTTCCAACACTGACCACCAATTCTAGGGATCTCTTTTCCACTAATCCCTAATATAAGGGGGCACACCTTCCACTGACTACCAATTTTTCCTATGCCCTCCAATGTAAGAGGTCCTAACTCCCACTGACCCCACATGTAAGGGGACCTTTTCTGACCACCAATGTAAAAGGTCACTCACCGTCAATAAAAGAAGGCCTGCCCCCACTGACAATCAATATAGGGGGGCCTTCTCTGCTGAACCTCCAATGTAAGGGGCCCTTCTGCCACTGTCCTCCAAATATAAAAGAATGTTACACTCCTCACTGTCTGCATTTCTTTTCTGCCTATTATGATTATTATTATAAATATTATTTTTAATTCATGGTCATTGTTAATGGAAATAAATTTTGCTGTGTAGATGAGAGAGGGTGTTAAAATGACCTGCCCTGGGCATTAAATATCCTTGAACCAGCAAACACAAATGACCTGCGCTTGGGGATGGACTCGATGCAGGCTGCAACCACATTAAGAATGTCCTGGAACATGCACACCTTGCTGCCCTCAACAGACTGGGGGAATCCAAATATACTGAATGAGGAAAGAACAAAGAGAGGGCGCACAGGCCTAGTGCATTACCATAAAAAATATTTAATAAGAAATAAAATATGTGTTGTACTCACAAACGACAATAAAGTCAAGGCACATCATAAAAGAACAGCTGGATCAACACCGCGCCGAGTAACAGTCCATAATGGGGAGTGTAGACATCCAATAGGCTGACGCGTTTCGAGGACTTGCCTCTTCCTCGTTTGTGAGTACAACACCTATTTTATTTCTTATTATTATTTCTTATTAAACATTTTTTATGGTAATGCACTAGGCCTGTGCGCCCTCTCTTTGTTCTTTCCTCATTAAATATCCTTGGTATGCCACTCTTTATGTTTTATTTAATTCCTTCTATTACTAACTGTTCATGCTAATGTATCTTGAGTTGTGTATACATACATATTTAGAAGGGATACCCAGAAACCTGGGAACCTCTGTGGTAAAAGGTTGAGAAAGACAGCTCTAGGGGAAGAGGAAATGACACCAAAGTGACATCACTTTCTCCTAAAGTAGGATAGGTTTAGCATATGCCGAGGGCCCAACTTCTACTGCTCTGCCATCATCCATTGTTACTTCCTAAGCTGGGATCACCCAGAGAATACAAGAAGTCAGTGGTTTTAGTAATGTAAGTAACAGAAATAAATAACAAATCCAATAGGAAAATGGGGCTCCCATGATAGGTGTTAGCCTGGCAAAACAAGAGCAGAGGTCTCCCTCTTGGAGCCAAAATATGTAAAACACTGTTAGATAATATGACTCTCCAGTATCTATAAAAATGAAATACCTGGTATTAGTGGGCTCTCTTTAAATATCGATTGCTAAGATGACTGGTTGATTTTTTTCACAGCATCAGGTTTTCATTTTGATAGCATCACACATAATTTGAAGACTGGTGTAAAAGCAGTGCCACTTTGATAAACTATGACAATAGCATCCATCAACCTGGTGGCTGACCTAAGTAACTTACAGATCTACACATGAAGTAAGCTTTCCCTTATAGTAAGGTTTTCCAAAATGCAGACAAACATGCTCAAACTAAGCAGAAAGTGACTTGCCAGTTTCATAAAAGTTTTCAAAGTGGCTTCCTTCCAAAGAAAATGTTAATCTTTACCCCTCCTGCTGTCCGCATGCCCAATCTCTGCTGTCCTCAAGTGCTACACTGGGTTCTGCATCAAACACACGTACTGAAGTATCAGATGTTTGGTCGCCCCTACATTCCCTGTTTTCTTCTGCTGAACCTTATGTCACTGTGTCCTGTAGTGATGTAGGGGCCTGCAAAAGGAACCAAAGTGCAGAGGGGGGACCAGACATTTTAAAGACAATGGAGAGCTGCGCTGCGGGTGATGGAAGGGTTGAGCATTAACCCTTTACTTTTTCAAAATAATTTTAGACTAGCCACCAAGCCACTAAAAAGTTGTACATGACAAGTCAACTGACTAGATAATACAGAATGTGCTTACCTGTTATCTTCATTTAGGCTGTCAAACACCTCTCCTCCTATGATCTCATTGTCTGGATTCAAACATATCTGGATCATGTTTGTAACAGACTTCTCTCCCCAGTCACTGTCTTTACGAGCCTTGTTAAAATATTTCAGAGCCTCATTTGGCTGCCCTAGATGCCTGAAATTAAAAATACAGTGAAAAAGTAATTGTTATCGTGGGAGATCCTGCTTCAAAGTTCCAAAAATATAAATGTATGTTTTTTGGCTATTATAAGAACTTGTTATGCTGGTAACACATTCATATAAGTCATCTGGGTACTAGTTTGAGAGTTTGACTGTCAAGCTATGTTTCTTAATCCAAAAAAACTTCTTAGCAATAAAACGGACACCTTCAAGGTAAGTAGCTCACCAAAGACTGAATTCCTAAACAACACTGTGGAGATGCCATATTCCTTTAGCCGGCTGCCAGCAATGTGACCTGAAAGTGGATCTCCACCCAAAAGGGGAAGTTTCGCTTTACGCCTTTGTCCCCTGCTCCCCATTAAGGATTGGCACCTTTGGGGAGTGGGGGGGGGGCGGATTTGACATGTACCGGCTCCCAGTTCCGCTGCAATTTTCTAGGCGATTGGAAGCGAAAGTCGTCCTACCCCCCTCCCTCCCCCCATAGTCTTGTGGGACAAGTGACAGGTACCAGAAGACTACGGGGCCATTCACAAAGCACAGCACTTCTCCCGCATGTGCAGTGGGCACCCGGCTATGAAGCTGCAAACTGTCACAGCCGGGTGCCCACACTGAAGATGCCGGCGCCGGGGAGAGAAGACGGCCGGTAAAACCAGCGGTGGTGAGGACACCGCTGGACCGAGGGACAGGTAAGTGGCTGTATTTAAGTCAGTTTTTGTAGCTGCTGACTTTTATTTTTTTATTTTTTAGGAAGAACTCCGCTTGAAGCTCAGTGTACACTTTTAGCAGAATGGGAAAAGAGAAATGTGTGTACAAACTGATATCTGTTTCTTTGGTAGCAAGTAAGAGAAATTTAGAATTTTGGCAGCAGGATATCATTGCAGCTTAGTTTTTAACCAAGATTAAACCACAAATTGGCTCGTGTAGGAATCATGCATTTTGCAGTAACTGTATTTAACAGAATTGAAGCTCAATTTAGACGTTACCAACAATGAAGACCTTTACAGTAATTATAGCCAGGTTCTAGTGTGGTCCTTGAAGATGCAGTCAACGCCAGATCAAAGAACTTTGGAGCATCATCCAGCTTTCCACTTCTTCTTAGTAAGTCAATCAGTTTACTCAAGACTGTAAAATTATCTAAAAAACATACAGGATAGCATGACACATGCTGCATTAGAGCTTACATGAACAATGATAATAAAAATGAGATTATTGTGTATAGTGGGAGAGCATACTCTACTCTACTGTCAGCTACCAGTGGCAGACAGCCCAGGAAATCTGTTCACTAGGCCAAACAGAAGCCCTTACAAACAATTTAGAGAAATCCTGATTGGATAGTGGAAGTGTAGCTGGGTGGAACATGTGATTATTTTTGTAGTACAAGTGTTGCTTAATGGTTGTGATGGTGGTACACAAGCAGGGGCGGACTGACCATTTGGAAACTCGGGCACTACCCGAGGGCCCGAGGTCAGTAGGGGGCCCCATGAGATGCCCCTGGTACCTTTTTCATAGGCTTTTTTGAGTTTGGGCAAGGACACAGGGGCCCCATGATCCCCTATTGCCCGGGGGCCCCATGAGTTGTCAGTCCGCCCCTGTACACAAGTTTAGGAAACATTGATGTATACCAGTAAAATATATTCAAACCTGGTGTTTTTTCCAGAACCTGGTGAAAATGTTCTATAGCTTTGTCATACTGCTGTTTCCGGAACATGATGTCTGCCATCATCTAACGGGTAAGAAGAGAAGATCAGTTTAATTCTAGGTGATGATGATGACATTATTTGCAGTTCAAACATAATTCTAAAGACTATTAAAGTGGAACTTTATGTACAAAACTAAAATTGGAAAGCAGGCAGGATTTTTAATTCAGAAAAGACATACAGACAGAGACGTGTGGAGGGCAGTCAGGCATAAAAGGACAGCAGAGTCTGTTTATACCCGGACGCCCATAGAGCAGATCGGGCTCCACCCTTGTCTGCTCTGTATAAACTGAGCGGACCTGGACCTGTCATGCACACATTCTGCTCTGATCAGCAGGGCATCAGCAGACAGGTCACCTGCTCATCAAAATGGAGTCTACCCATGTGAAAGGGGCCTTAGTGATATGAAAATCTAGAATGGCCTGGATGATTGGGTACAATTCAGCAGCCTGCCTTTGATACATAATTACATCCTTATGGGATGGTAAATGATTATGTCATCATAAAACTTATTGCCCACAGATATCAGGAGACTGCACAAAGGTAACAATGCACAAATATATTATGATTGATTTATATGGTTTTTGTTGGCAAAGAAATGTTGTAGATGAAATTTCTACAGCTTTCTGTATAAATGGGTTTTGATGGTGTGTTTAAGGCTCCATGCACACTGACTTAGGACAATGCTGCTCCTAGAGGGATTTAACGTTTTGCCAGTAGAACAGTAGAAGCAACTAATGTTATCCTATGTGTCTGTGCACATTAGGTCATTTAGAGGCATATTTTGAGTTCAGTATTTAGAGGCTGAAAAAAACTCAACTTTTCTATTTTTGAGAACGGTTTTCGGACAGGAAAACCATTAAATGCTGCTAAGCACTCCTAAACTCTTTTACAAAAAATGCTCTAAATTAGCGGGGGTTTTTTCTGCCAAGAACACTGGCATTTTTTTAAGCCAGTGTGCATGGACCCTAAATCTAAACCATCATGTTGTTTAAAACTGCAGCTTCCTGTATGAACAAAACTCCTCCTGTGCACTCATTATTTGCCATGCCTCACTGACAGCCTACAGGACAAAATCAAACACCTTTTCCAGGAAAAACCACAGAATAATAAGACATTTGCCAAAAATGGCAAATAACTATCAAGGTATTATAAGAGGTCCTCACCTGGTTTACTCAAATCTTAATCTTTTGGTTGTTGCTGGAGCATAGGAAGGCTTGGGGTCTACAAAGTGCTACAAATATCCTATTTCCAGTCTTATTGAGCTTATACAGCATGTATGTCCTGAGAAAGGGTGCATAAACCCCTGAAACACACTGGCTGTTTTTTTTATTCTATTATAACAATATAACATGATCAGAGGATAAAACCACCTGGGACTGTAACTCAAGATCTAACAGCCAGTGGAAACAAATAAACAAGTATACCCAGGTACCAGTCCTTGCAGATACAGGAGCAGTTTGCCCGCACGTAAACAGTAGTGTGTCAGAATTGGAGGATCTAAGGAGCCACCCGATCTTCACCAGAGCCGCTGGAGGTGTGGATGTTGCACTGCAATGCAGCTCCCAGGTTGCGGCTCTCTAACACACCCATGCGGACACAGTGCAACCAAATAGCTTGCTGGAAGGACATGGAGTATGCACAGGCTACTAGGCACCAAGGTAACCTACTTCAGCAAGCTACGAAGGGAACCCAGAGGAGGGAACTCAGGGAACAAGCATAAAGCTCAGGAGAATGAGGGATGCTGAGCAATGGTGCAGAGACAGACTCAGCAAGCTGGAAAGAACTGCAGGGCATACAACAACAGGTAACAATGCTGAGAAGGACACACACACAGCAATAGAAACTGAAGGGATCCATGAACAGAAGCCATAGGGAATACAACTGCACAGTCAGAGGGAAAACACTGAGAACACAGACAGGATCAAACAACACACAGAATATGGGTATGCTCAATTAGCGGTGAACACCAAAAGAACCAGAGGAGTCCGGCTTCCATGTGAAGACACGTTTTCCAAAGACGAACACACAGATGCAAAGGCTTAATAATACCTAGGTTCAGAGCGGATAGACAGGAACCCAAGCAGCTTGGACAGGAGGCAAAACCCGGCTCTGGATAGATGTGAACGGAAGCATGACAGAGAAGTGACCAGAGGGCAGAGAAAAGTTTGTGTATTATACAAAGAAAAGTGCTATACCTACAGTTGTGCTCAAAAGTTTGCATACCCTGGCAGAAATTGTGAAATTTTGGCATTGAAATTGAAAATATGACTGATCATGCCAAAAAATGCTCTTTTATTGAAGGGTGATGATCATATGAAGCCATTTATTATCAAATAGTTGTTTGGCTCCTTTTTGAATCACCCAAATGGCCATGATCAGGGGCGGACTGACAACTCATGGGGCCCACGAGCAATAGGGGATCATGGGGCCCCTGTGTCCTTGCCCAAACTCAAAAAAGCCTATAAAAAGGTACCAGGGGCATCTCATGGGGCCCCCTACTGACCCCGGGCCCTCGGGTAGTGCCCGAGTTTCCAAATGGTCAGTCCGCCCCTGGCCATGATCAAAAATTTTCATACCCTGGAATGTTTGACCTTGGTACAGACACACAAGGTGACACACACAAATTAAAATGGCAATTAGATGTCCCACATCTGTGGCTTTTTAAATTGCAATTATTGTCAGTGTATAAATAGTCAATGCGTTTGTTAGCATTTACATGGAAGCACTGACTAGGCTAGATACTGAGCCATGGGGATCAGAAAAGAACTGTCAAAAGTCCTGCGTAACAAAGTAATGGAACTTTATAAAGATGGAAAAGGACATAAAAAGATGTCCAAAGCCTTGAATATACCAGTCATCACTTCCACTAAGAAGTAGAAAATTCAGGGACCTCTTGATACCAAGCCAAGTACAGGTAGACCAAGAAAGATTGCAGCCACAACTGCCAGAAGAATTGTGCGGGATACATAGGGAAACCCATAGGTAACAACAAGAAAAATACAGGCTGCTCTGGAAAAAGACAGTGTGGTTGTTTTGAAGGAGCGCAATGTGATGACACTTGAAAAAAAATGAGCTGCATGGTCCAGATGCCAGAAAGAACCTTTACTGCATCAATGACACAAGAAGGCCCGGTTAGGCATGTCAAGGTGTTGTCAGGCATATTGTAACCGGGCATTTTTGGGGCATTGGTGCAGTAAAAGCTTCTTTCTGGCACCTCGACCAAACAGCTCATTTTTGTTCAAGTATCCCCATATTGTACTCCTTAAAAACAACCACACCATCTTTTTCCAGAGCAGCCTGTATTTCTTTTGAGGTTGCCTGTGGGATTTCTTTGAATCCCAGACAATTCTTCTGTCAGTTATGGCTGCAATCTTTCTTGGTCTACCTGACCTTGGCTTTGTATCAAGAGATCCCCGAACTTTCCCCTTCCTAATAGGTGATTTAACAGTACTGAATGGCATATTCAAGGCTTTGCACATCTTTTTTTGTGTGTCCTTTTCCATCTTTATAAAGTTCCATTACCTTGTTACTCAGGATTTTTGACAGTTCTTTTCTGATCCCCATGGCTCAGTATCTAGCCTAGTCAGTGCTTCCACGTAAGAGCTAACAAACTCATTGACTATTTATACACTGACACTAATTGCAATTTAAAAATCTACAGATGTGGGACATTAACCTCTAATTGGCATTTTAACCCATGTGTGTCACCTTGTGTAACTGTACCAAGGCCAAACATTCCAGGGTATGTAAACTTTTGATCATGGCCATTTGGGTGATTTCTGTTATCATTATGATTTAAAAAGGAGCCAAACAACTATTTGATAACAAAATGGCTTCATATGATTGTCATCCTTCAATAAAAGAACATTTTTTGACACGATCAGTCATATTTTTAGTATCAATGCCAAAATTTCACAATTTCTGCCAGGGTATGCAAGTTTTTGAGCACAATTGTATATACAGTATAAGGAAGTCTTCTTTATAAAGTATAAAGAAGACATTATACATAGCTTTGCACCCTAGCTATCCCATCTAGCCCTTTAGCAACAAGACAAACTGAAGGATGCTGGCTGACTCCTTATGGTAAATGTTTCCCTGTAATGCACTCTCATCAGTATGGCCTACAGCCAAATGAAAAAATGTGGCTCAACCCAGTGTTTCTATATTTAATTACAAAGGCTTTATTTGTGTTGTGCACATACAGTATACACTCATCGGCCACTTTATTAGGTACACCTGTTCAATTGCTTGGTAACACAAATTGCTAATCAGCCAATCACATGGCAGCAACTCAATGCATTTAGGCATCAAGACGTGGTGAAGATGACTTGCTGAAGTTCAAACCGAGCTCAGAATGGGGAAGAACAGGGATTTAAGTGACTTTGAACGTGGCATGGTTGCTGGTGCCAAATGGCTGGTCCCAGTATTTCAAAAATTGCTTATCTACTGGGATTTTCACGCACAACCATCTCTAGGGTTTACAGAGAATGGTCCAAAAAAGAGAAAATATCCAGTGAGCGGCAGTTGTGTGGATGAAAAAGCCTTGTTAATGTCAGAGCTCAGAGGAGAATGGGCGGACTGGTTTGAGATGATAGAAAGGCAATAGTAACTCAAATAACCAATCATTACAACCAAGGTTTGCAGAATACCATCTCTGAACGCAGGACACATCAAACCTTGAAGCAGATGGGCAACAGCAGCAGACGACCACACCGAGTGCCAGTGTACCCATCTTCTAATGGCTACTTCCAGCAAAATAATGCACCATGTCACAAACCTCAAATCATCTCAAACGGGTTGAACGTGACAATAAGTTCACTGTACTCCAATGGCCACTCCACAGTCACAAGATCTCAACCAATAGAGCAACTTTGGGATGTGGTGGAACGGGAGATTCACATCATGGATGTGCATCCAACAAATCTGCAGCAACTGCGTGATGCTATTATGTCAATATGGACCAAAAATGTTTCCAATACCTGGTTGACACCTTGTTGAATCTATGCCATGAAGAATTAAGGCAGTTCTGAAGGCAAAAGGGGGTCCAACAAAGTACTAGCAAGGTGTACCTAATAAAGTGGTCAGAGAGTGACTGTATAGTATATATGTATTTGCAGTATGCAGAACATGAAAGACAAGAGAACATTCCGTTTACCATGGTAGCTTCCTCTTTATATCTTGGGTCCTGAAGTAAGACATTGCACTGCATTTCACAGGCATCCAAGTCATCCATTATAAGGAACAGGCATGACAACTGTAGCAAAACCTGTTATAAAAGAAATGAGATCAGTTGTTTTCTTAAGCACTTGGCAACCTGATACTACCCACTTCGTGATTTTTTTTTTACTCTAGGGTTTTTTACAGATCCAGTAATTTTTAATATACAGAGTGAGCACACCATGTAATTATTTAGCAATAAAGTTGTATTATTATTATTTTTATTATACAGGATTTATATAGCACCAACAGTTTGTGCAGCGCTTTACAAAATGAAGGCAGACATTACAGTTACAATACAATTTGGTACAAGAGGAAACAGAGGGCCCTGCTCATTAGAGCTTACAATCTAAGAGTGAGGCTCAAGTGATACAAAAGGTAATAGCAGTGGGGGATGAGCTGATGGAGAAAGTAGAAATGCAGTGTCTTAGTTAGAGGCAAGATAGGCTTCTTCAAAGATAAGGGTTTTCAGGGAACATTTAAAGGTGGATAAATAAGGAGATAGTAGGACAGATTGGGGCAGGGAGTTCCATAGGATGGGAGAAGCTCAGAAGAAGTCCTGGAGGCGAACATGGGAGGAGGTGACACGGGAACTAGAGAGCAATAAAGTTGCATTAACCATATAAACACAATAATTATACAATGGGTACAGATATCCAAGTATGTCATCACATCAAGCATAACACAGCTAATTTATTGGCTCCACTGTTAATCCCAATCTATAACCAAAAATACATGCATGTACATAAGAAAATTGAGCGCCACTTGTTCATATAGCAGCTGATGTTCAGAAATATATACAGGTGTTCAGTACCCTAAATGGAATAATTTCCAGAAGGAGAAGGAACGCATAGCCAGACCTTGGAGAAAAGAAAGAGAACGAGGATGAAGATCCCAAAATTTTAGAGGCGCAGGAGCCCCGTATCTGCCCTCACTCTTTTCACTGTATTTGTTTACACCTGAAGCCATTACAGGCTAGGGAGAGACAGACCTTCAGTGTCCTTCAATAGGATAACTGGACAGGAAGGCTGCTGTGAGATATCTTTAGAGTCTACTGGCTTTTGCATTCCCATACAAGCCTACAGGAATGCAAAACCCACTTGAAGCAGGTCAAATGCAAGCCAGAAGGAAGTCAACTGCACCTGTCAGTGAATTCTGAATGATCTCAGAAACATCTATAGAGTCCAAAGCTATCTACACAGGGCTTACTTCTCTACAGAGTCACCTTTATAAATACTGTATATCCATAGCTCTTTTATACAAACCAGCTATGTTTTTTTGTGGTCTGGTGGGAAAGCCCCTCTTTAAAAGGCTCATTAGTTTATTCAGATAAAGCTGAACTCAATTGTATCTGAGCACCACAAACTGAAAACCCTATTTAAATTATTTGTAATACTCAAAGCAAATTCACTTTGACCATCCTAACTAAGGGCAGATGATTCATTTACTTCCTGGAATCCATCTGCCCTAAGCTCAGACATATAGGTAGGAGGGTGTGCTCAACTGAAAAGTCCCCTCTTCCAGATTCAAGAAAATGCCTAGGCCATAAACCAGGAAGCAACTGAAGAAATGTTAAAAAAAAAAGATTAAAAAGGATGTTAAGGAATTAAAAATAGTTAATGCGGATTGAGAAAGTTTAGTATACTGTGACTTCATGTTATACCAAATGGTAACTTTATAAAGTCTACTGCATGAATTTGGAGGACAGGAAGATTTATTTTTATATATATATATATATATATATATATCTATCTTAAGATTGTCTGGGTAGATGATGAATTACTTACTTTATTGTCTGTGTCGTAGTATGAAATTGCATCTTTGTAGTATTTCAGTGCATTTGTGTAATCCTTCTCCCCTAAGTAATGTTCAGCAAGTTGTACACAGATTTTGGAAGCCACTTGTAACTGATTTGTGATCATATCTGGTTGTTCAAAAGGAACTCGCTTCAATATCCTCATCTGAATGTCCAGTGCCTGAAATGAAATCCAGTAATATGTTTATGTAGCTCACATTTCCCAATGGCCTGTGAAAATGTATAATGAAAGAGAAGTTCCAGAGAGTTGGTCATATAAGAGCTCATCCAGAAAGAACATTAAGCTTGTCAAAGAGATCAGAGTAATGCCTGATGAACAGAGCTATTATAAACAATACACTGCACTTTATAGAGTACACACACATTCCTCCATGCAGTTTTGGTTTGCCACAGTACAGCACTCACCTGCACTGCATTTATATCAGTCCTGATCACAAAAAAGTGAATGGGGCAGTTTTGAACGCAATAAATTACATCAAGTTTTCTAGATGTTAAAGCTCAACTTTTAAAGAATCAATTTAAAGAACTAGGCTGCAAGCTGAAGGGAAGGACCTCCAAGGTGATATTCTCTGAAATATTATCTGTGCCATGCGCAACTCAGGAAAGACGGGGAGATTAGAGAACTCAATGCATGGCTAAAGACCAGGTGTAAGAGGGAAGGATTTGGGTTTCTAGAGCACTGGGCTGGATTTCATTGGGGTGCAACCTATATGCTAGAGATGGTCTGCACCTAAATGGAAGGAGGTCTGCTATTTTAGGGGAGAGGTTTATGGGGAGGCTGGAGGAGTATTTAAACTAGGATCGAGGGGGAAGGTGAATTAGATTATAATGGGGCAGACAGATCAGACAGGGGTCAGTACTTATTGATGGGTTGAATGGGGAAAGATGGGGGGAGGGCTATGGCAGATGATAAGAAGGTTCCCATGTTACAAACAACTAGTGAAATTGGTAATATTTGTATGAAAATAAAAAATATGCAAAATATGTGTGCACAAGGTGTCAATGGATTAAAGTATTGTTCACTAATGCCAGAAGACTGCGAAGCAAAGTAGGTGAGTTGAAAGCTTTGGTGCATGAACAGAACTATGACTGAAAGGGTATTGCTGAATCTTGGCTTCATTTTTCACATGACTGGGCCATTAATATTCCTGGCTATGTTCTCTTTCGGAGAGACAGAGTAAATAGGAAAGGTGGTGGTATCTGTCTTTATGTGAGAAGTGATCTCAGAGCGAGTGTGAAGCATTATGGGTGGAACTGAACATGGGGTTGCGTACTACTTAGGTAATCACTGGAGTTTGTTATAGGCCACCTATTGTTAATGAGGAGGTGGAGACTTAGCTCCTTGCATTGATCGTAAAGGGCTGCAAGGGTTGGGGCAGTGATAATAATGGGAGATTTTAACTACCCGGAAATTGACTAGAGTAATGGTACTGCAGGAACAGTTAAAGGGCAAATGTTTTTTAAACCTACTACAGAACAATTTTATGGTACAGTTCATAGAGGCCCCAACTAGGAATGATGCTCTGCTGGACCTGGTAATCTCAAACCATGCAGAGCTTATTATGAATGTCCATATAAAAGAACATCTGGGTAGCAGTGACCATAACATGATTTTATTTATTGTTAGCTGTAAACAGCGAGCACATATGGGAAAAATAAAAAGGCTGAGAGCTTCTCTCTAAGGCTTAGACTTGGAGGGAATATTGGCATCAATGAACACAGCACAGAAATGGGAGTTCTTCAAAAAGACTGTATGTGAACACACTGCAAAATATATTCCCATGGGCAACAAGTTTAAAAAGCTAAAAATCAAACCTATGTGGTTTAAGGCCAAAGTTAAAAAGCTATAGATAATAAGAAAATATATTAATAGTAAAAAGATCTGGTCCGAACATGTATGCCCTTTACGGAATAATCTAGAGTGGGTGACTGGGGACAAAGAGAAGGCAAATTTATTAAATACCTTCTTCAGCTCTATGTATACAAAGGAGCATGGGGGAGATCTTGTCCATACTGGGGATGGTATTGACATAGCTCCAGATGATCCACATTGGTTCACAATTGACATGATCCAAAAATATTTAGACAGAATAAAGGTGAATAAAGCACCTGGATTGGATGGCATACACCCACGGGTCCTTAGAGAATTGAGCTCTGTCATTTCAAAGCTATTGTTTCTAATTTTTAGGGACTGTTTAATGACTGGCATAGTACCACTGGATTGTCGTAAGGCCAATGGGGTGCCAATATTTTAAAAAGGGATAAAAATCTGTACCAAGTAATTATAGACCTGTTAGTTTAACTTCTATAGTTGGGAATATACTGGAATTTTTAATAAAAGATCACATAGATGAGTTCTTGCTGGAAAAAAATATTTTAAGCAACAAACTGCATGGGTTTATGAAAGACAGAAGTTGTGAAACAAATCTGATTTCTTTTCATGAGGAGATGAGCAAAACCTTGGACAGAGGGGTGGCGGTGGACGTGGTATACTTGGATTTTTCAAAAGCGTTGACAAAGTTCCCCATACACGGCTAATGTGTAAAGTAAAGTCTATGGGCTTGGAAAAATCTGTATGTAAATAAAAGTACAGAGAAGGGCATGCAAGCTGGTAAGAGGCATGGAGGAGCTTCGGTGTAAAGTTATTCACCCTGAGGTCATCACAGAGGACAAGGGGGCACCTTTACATCTGGAGGAAAAGAAATGTAATCTCCAAACATGGAAAGGTTTCTTCACAGTAAGAGCTGTGAAAATGTGGAATAGACTCCCTCAAGAGTTGGTTCTGGCCAGCTCAGTGGATTGCTTCAAAAAAGGTCTGGATTCTTCCTTGGATACACAGAATATAACTGGATACTAACATTTATAGGTAAAGTTGATCCAGGGAATATCCGATGCCTCTCGGGGGATCAGGAAGGAATTTTTTCCCCTGTGGGAGCAGATTGTTTCATGGTTTGCTGGGGTTTTTTTTGCCTTCCTCTGGATCAATTGTGGGTGTAGGATTATAACTTTTTTTTTTTTTTTTTTTTAATGGTTGAACTGGATGGACTTTTGTCTTTTTTCAGCCAGACTAACTATGTAACTCAACGTTCAGTTAACAAAAATCCAACTGTTTATTTTTTTAGAGAGCAGGCATATCCTGAGTAGAAAAGTCTGCATCCTGCCAACATGGTCTTGAGAACAACCCTTGCTTTTTGTGTGGAGGCAGTGGTCTCTCTGAAAAGGTCTGACACACCACCTGATGAGTGAGGCAACATGCACACAGATGTACTAAAGCAAAAAAAAGTTTTATTGTATAAAACACATTGTTTTCCAGTGAACTGTGGAGCTGCAGGTGGGGTGTTAATAGAAGTTAATGGCCGTAGGCCCCTGTACTCATATAAATGCCGATGCTTCTCTGAATTGGCATTTGTCCAAACATGAGACGGAATTTTCCGAATGCACGTCGGCATTCGATAAATCACATTGTATGCGCATGTACAGGTAAATGCTGATCCAGAGAAGCATCAGAGCTTTTACAAGCATAGTGAGGTATAGGCATTCATTTTTATGACTGTCTGTATGCCCCACCTGTAGCTCCCTAGCCTCAGGAAAAAGACAGGGTTTATATATATATATATATATATATATATATATAAAATGCCTAAGTACATCCTTGTGTATGAGCCCTAAGACCTATAGCTCTGTAATAAGGAAAGCTGATATTCCTTGCAGTTTGTGTAGTTTGAAAAGCTCTAGCACTGTAGGAAGTGTTCTGGATCTCTGCAGAGAAACTACTGTTTCCACACAGAGAATAAGTGTCTTTTCTTTGCAGCATGATAGCAGGACACAGACTTCTTTAATCAGAAGAGAACAAACTGTCAGACTACACAAACATTTGTCTTGATGTACCGGGAATGTATTTATCTGGTCATACTGAAAGTGGGCTTTAAGATGCCTCTCCTTCATTGTTCATTTATGTTTGTTGTCTGTACACCAGAACATTTATCTTTACAAACATAAACCATAACATAATAATACTTTATAATTGTGTGATTCTTATATTCAGGATCTATTTTATTAAAACTGACTTATTTAAAGGAAACATAATGGTTACCACCGAATATTTCCAGCACTGAGGCTGCATGTTCGATAGATGCGTGGAGTTTTTATACTATCCCTGTGTTGGAGTTTCCCCTGAATACTCAATTTCTTATCACTAATCAAATTCCATTCTGGTATTTGGATAGGTGTATGACCTGCACTTAAACTACAATGGGCTCCCTTTAAACTACAGATATGTATGACTTGCACCCCACTGCCCCTAAGTGACTTTTGCACAGATACAATACTATAATCTATACAGGGCAGGGAACATGACTAAATCCTAATGGAATAATCACCCTCCCATTTACCCAACACAATAACCTGCTGCAATCTTCCAACATATCTACTGCTTTGATACTTGTTCTCTGAGGTTTAATATTATGATCGTTTTCCCCCCTGATACAGAGGCTGTCTCAACTGTCTTTACTGGATGATAACGTGAAAAAGAAATAAGAAAAAAAGCCAGCCCACAGAATAACAGAATGTAGATTCCATGAATCTACATAGAAAAGACAAACTGATTAGTAAACGGAGCGGTAAATAGTAATGATTTCAGTATTAAATGATTAAGAGTATATAAATGAGCAGTTAAAAGAAGAATCAAATGGATTACTGAATGAGGGCAAAAAACATCTGCACCAAACTGAGGAAATTCACCTTTTATGTCTCATAGTCAAGTCCAACAGTGGAGGAATCCCTGGAGAGATAACCTGTAATGCAGGGGATCATTGCTTGTACAGGCCCCAAAAGATTTCCCAGCTTTGGCCAAAGCATTGAGGAGAATAAGATGTGGATTCTTTTTTTCATTTCTGGTGGGTTTTGCCCTCATTTAGTAATCTATCCACTTCTCTTCATTCATTTATTTAATTGCTGTGTGTTTAATAATGATTTGACATTCTTATGACATACTGCTGGAACAATACATGACTTCATATTCTTGGCTACCTGTAATGTTATTATGATTATACATGATAGCGGCAATACAATGAGCCTGAAATACGTCACCGACTGAGCCCAGAATGTGCCCCTTGTCATAGTGCGGGGAATCAATGACATGACCCAAAAAGAGGGAACGAC